CATAAGCCAACAAATAGTGCTTGAAAATGGGCAGTCAGTGAGCGGCGGCGCTTCGAAATTTGCTATATAGTTGAAAAGCACTGATTTGTTAAGCGTTTAAAAAGTTACACGTTTCACCTTCTGGGAGTTTTTGAAGTGACCTCTCTTTGAAAATCCACTGCTCGGACACCAGACATGATAATCACATTTGGATTAATTCAAAATTTACTCAAATGTTTGGTTGAGGCATAGCTGAAATTTTTTAACACTGTCACTAACCACTGATTTTAGCCAAAAGTTTTAAACTCACTCCGAGATTATTCTCTCAAGAATGCCGATTAATGGTTAAGGTAAAAGTAAGCGCTAGTCTAACTTTATCTGTCTCATATATACAGGGAAACAGATGTTGCAATAATGCCGGTGTTTATATTAGGTGAATTAAGCGTCGAGTTTGATCCAAACGACTATGGTCTAAAGGACAATCCCACCTACAAGACATTTGTGAACGCCGCCTGTTATTTCTGTGGCATTATTAACGAACTCTACTCCGTTAAAGCAGAGGTGTTTAAAGGGGGCGACATTCGCCACGAATATCTCTACCTGATTATGGTATGGGAGGGCTGTTCAGCGCAAACCGCTGCCGACCGTATTGTGTCCGAATCAAAAGTTGCCTACAATAGAGTACTTGATTATGGTAAACGATTGAACATGTTTAATATACCCGCTCTGGACCGGTATGTCACGGAGGCTATACGTATCTGCGATGGCAATCATTACTGGTCGACAATATGCGAGAGATATAACTCGTGGAATATATAGAAGTTGGTAGTGAATGTTAAATTAATTTAATGATGGGCAAGTTTTTAGATATTAATTGTGGCGTTTGTAGGGTTAAATAATACATGGAATTATTGCAAGTATTTATTTTATTATGAGCTAAATATTACTAACAAGCAAACGGTCTGAGGTTAATTTACGATAATGGTATTTAATACCACTAATCGTGTAGTTTAGATCAAATAAAATAATTTAGGCCTAATATCTCGGGCTGATAGCCCAGTGGGCGCCTCTGGGAGGGGGTTTTAAGTTGCAATTACATTAGAAAATTGCATTGAGATTAGCGCCACTTGTTTTGTGGCATACAAGTCCACTAACTCTCATAAGCTTAACACATGTGAATTGCAACTTAAAACCTTCTCCCAGAGGCGCCCACTGGGCTATCAGCCCGAGATATTAGGCCTAAATTATTTTATTTGATCTAAACTACACGATTAGTGGTATTAAATACTATTATCGTAAATTAACCTCAGACCGTTTGCTCGTAAATAGTATTTGTTTGTTTGTGGTTAAAATTTTGGATAACTGTCATATTTGTCATATTTGTAATTAACTGTTATAATTTCTATAATATATTGTTATTGTAAAAGTTTATAGTTTATTTAATATGTATTATAAAATTAACTTTAATTCAAACAAATTACTAAAAAATAATCTGTTTTTATATTTATAAATATTTACGAATAAATAAATGTGTAAATTATAATAAACATATTATTAATAAATAAGTAATTATGTTTAAGTAATACTATTATTAATAGTAAAACAGATTTATTCTACATAATGTAGTTACATGTAAAAATAAAATAAAGAAACAAGTGTATATAGAAACAAATGTCATTCATAAAACAGCACAATAATTAAAATTCAACATAATAATTATTGAATCTCAAAATGTCGAGCATGTACGATTTCACGGGACGGGTAGCGCTGATAACGGGGTCGAGTTCGGGCATCGGTGCGGCCACAGCTATACTACTGGCCAAAGCGGGCGCCCGAGTGGTCATCACTGGACGTAATTATGAAAAACTCGCCGCATTTTATAAACAGTGTACGGATGTGTCGCCCCATAAATGCCGTCCAGCGGTTCAAGTGGTGGCCGACGTGACCAATGAGGCCGATATGGACCGACTTCTGGCCATTACTATCGATACTTTTGGTCAATTAGATATTCTGGTCAATAACGTCGGGTTTTTGGCGTCGGCACCAATAGATAGCAATGATTATATGAAAAACTTCCGGTCAGTTATGGATACAAATCTCGATTCAATTGTCTATTTAACGCATAAATCGGTACAATATTTGGCTAAAACTAAGGGATCTATAATTAATATGTCCAGTATTTTGGGAAAAATAACAGTAAGATATTAATAGTTCAGAGCAGAATAAAATTCATATAATTATTAATTTCTAATTATATTAATTAATTATAAAACTTAACATTTAGAGAATGGATCGTAAAATATAAGGCAGGCGTATGGGCGGCAAAAATACCCCAGGATGGATTAATGATGAAAATGATCTGGTACATAAATACAGCTCTTAGCAAAGATCAAGCTATCCGTTTACATAACGATTACTTGGGCTATCTTGAGTCTTATATTATACTATCCGAGTTTGGTGGCAAAAATGATAAAATTTTAACTTACGACGATTGGTTCATAATTAGGTAAATCTATAAATAAAGTATTTAACATTATTATAACAAATTAATAAAAATTACTAGGTAGTTTACATTACAGGTATTATACTGTAAATTATAATTTATATTGTATAATTTAGGCTAAATCAATAATAAGAATTTTTAAATTATTTTAAATAAATTAGATTAAGGTTAAATGTGGGGTCAATCTGACACTATCTGTCTCATACTGTATCTAGGCAAACAGATGTGGCAATGATGCCGGTGTTTATATTCGCTGAGTTAAGCGTCGAGTTTGATCCAAACGACCATGGTATAAGGGACAATCCTACCTACAACACATTTGTGATCGCCGCCTGTTATTTCTGTGCCCTCATTAACGAACTCTACTCCGTTAAGAAAGAGGTGTTTAAAGGGGGCGACGTTCGCCACGAATACCTCTACCTGATTATGGTATGGGAGGGCTGTTCAGCACAAACCGCTGCCGACCGTATTGTGTCCGAAGCGAAAGTTGCCTACAATAGAGTACTTGATTATGGTAAACAATTGAACATGTTCAATATACCTGCTCTGGACCGGTATGTCACGGAGGCTATCCGTATCTGCGATGGCAATCATTACTGGTCAACAATATGCGAGAGATATAACTCGTGGAATAAATAGAAGTTGGTAGTGAATGTTAAATGAATTTAATCATGGGCAAATTTTTAGATATTAATTGTGGCGTTTGTGGGTTTAATTAATTCTAGGGTTAAAACTAATAGTAATCTGTTATTCAGAATAACAAGTTATAACAAAAATAACAAGTTAATATATTAATAAGTTATTATTAAAAACTAAATTTGTATTTAATGGTTTATTAAAATAACAAATGTATCTGCTTTATACTATTTTAATCTGGGTCATATATAATAAATTATATTATAAATACAAATAATTTTGCCAAAGTATGCCAGAGTATGAGTTTAGAAATAATTTTTATATTTGTAATTAATAAATATGTATTATAAAATTAATCATAATTCAAACAAAGTACTAAATAAATAATCTGTTTCTAAATTTAGAAATATTTACAAATATATACGATATGTTTAGTTAAATTATAATAAACAAATTACTAATAAATAAATTACAAATGCTAGTAAAACAGATTTATATTAATTACATGTAAAAATAAAGTGCATTAAAACAAAAGTCAAACAAAGCATTAAACCAACACATTAATCAAAATTTGCCATAATTATTTAATCTATATCAAAATTCAAATCACTGTTTGTATGAATTATGTATTCATAAATATAGTTATATAACAAAACACTACTGTTATTTATTATCACTCATTATAGTTGCCAGAGGCTAAAAGTGGTATGTCATTAATAATTACCCATTATTAATCATGATATTATAATTTTATAACTGCAATTATATTTAGGAATACAATGTCAAACGAGTCCAAAGAGCTGACATTCTCCGATTTCGCGCCCAAACAATAATTAAATGGGTATTGCAGTAGTAATAGGGACGCAAAGCACCTTGATCAACACCATGTAAAACAAATACTATCGTTTGAAATCCGCGATTTTGAGCCCAAACCCGTATTGGTTAACCCGCTGTACGAGAAATCGGTCCAAATTGTTGAACGAGATATGACTGAGTTGTGCGGTCAACAAATTTATGACCATCATAATCTATCCGGCTATTCATCCTACATGTTTACAACTGCTAATTGTGATCATTATTGTGCCGCAAACTACTGGAATGTTTTTGCTTTTGAATTTGACAATTACTTTGATAAAATCGGCGATAACGCCACATACAGGTAATATTTTAAATAAATTGCTAATTGTAACAATTAATCTAATAAATTAACATTTTAGAGAATGGATTATAAAATATAAGGCAGACGTATGGACGACAAAAATTCTTTAGAATGGACTACTGATGAAAATGATTTGGTACATAAATACCGCTCTTAGCAAAGATCAAGCTTACCGTTTACATAACAATTACTTAGGCTATCGTAAGTTCTACATTATACTATCCGAGTTAAGTGGCAAAGATGATACGATTTTAACTAACGACCAGTGGTCCAGAATAAAGTAAATCTATTTAACATGTATAACTCTAATTAATAGAAATTACAAGATGGTTTATATTATAATTTATGTCAATTTATGACACGTCTAACTTATTTGCCAAATTAATAATAACAAAAAGAAAATTTTTGAATGTAACTTAAAACATATTAGATAAAGGTAAAAGTAATGGCTAGTCTTATGTGTTTATTTAGATTGCAAGGCGTTGTATTTGTTAGTATAGTTTCGTTTATTTAAACATAATGTAATCCGTTATTTAAAAATACAAATATACTAATATCAAAAAAATTAAATTGGATATTAATTTTTTAAGGTAGCCACATATTTATCAATAGCAAGCGCCATTCCGACAGAATACGATTTTAAAACTTGCATGTTGGCAGATTTCGGTATTTCACATTTAGTAACTTGGTTTACATCTAGATTTTTTTCCATTTTTCGTAAGTATAAGTCGATTACAGTATACGTCATAGTTTTAAGCGTATCACGTAAACCATCGCTGTTTTTGTGCAAATCGATCGATTGATTTATAAATGACCTAATCGCGCTAGATAATTATACAGAGTATTAATATATTTGTTCCAATGCTGGGTTCATGGGTTAGACGTTTAAGGTTATGGATATGGGGTAAATTATTTTAATAATTTAACATAGTTATATTGTATAAACATCTACTAATTGTATAGCTCGTTTATTTTATTTGATTTTAAATAACTAACTTATTTTGTAACCGAATGTTTGGTTCTGCGCAAACTTTACTTATAATGTTAGCTCACTGGTTTCAACATGTTAAAGTATAGACATAATTTTAACGCCATAGCTTACATGTTATACGCCTAGGGTGACCACCAAAAATGCCCGTAAAAAGGACAACTGACAAAAAATAATCCTCAAGAAAAGGACAAAAAGGACGCAAAAAATTATTCAATGAAATTTGTATTAATTCGACAAAAATTGGTTAAAATTATTTATTATTATATTTTTGTGAAGATTTTACAAATCGTAATACTATCTTAATACTGGTTTTTTGCCGGTGTTTTGTCGCACATTTTAAATATCTTTAACAATCATAACAAATAACATTCTTTAGGGCATAATTTAAATGACATTTCCAATGTTTTTAAAATTATTAACCTTTTTATATCGAAATTAATAAAACTCGAAAAAGGACAAAGTATAGTCCTTTCCGACTACTCAAAAGGACGCTGTCCTGAAAGGTCGAAAAAAGGACAAAACCCATAAAAAAGGACGTTCTGGTCACCCTATATACGCCATAGCCCTAGAGGCGACACCGAACGATTTTATAAACCATATTCTGTATAAATAAATAATTGTCACAAATTTATATATTGATACTGACCATGCTATATTTGCAAGATTGTCTCGCAAGATTGGACTTGTTTTATTAGTTTGCTCGACAATATATGCGTTCAGTCTGTTTCTGAATTGTTTGATTTCATCCGATTTTGCGTTAATAATTGTAGCATGTGTTTGGCGTTTTTGCACGCTTATGGTTGAATTACAAAAAGTATTTATTGCTTTAAAAGTGTCGGTCGTACACATAGCGAGCATTATTTCGACGGTACGAGGTTTACGTGCTTTAAACCATTTCATAGCGTAAGCAATGTCTTTTGCGCTTAAAAATGGCAAATATTTTAAAATTATATGTTTTAATAAGAAATCAATGATTTTAAATCATGTTATTTAAAATGTTATTTATAATGTAACTAAATTACGTGATTGAAGGGCATACCAGGAAAGTTGATAGGACATTATTACAAAGAAATAATTATATGTTTTAATAAGAAATCAATGATTTTAAATCATGTTATTTAAAATGTTATTTATAATGTAACTAAATTACGTGAGTGAAGGGCAGAACAGGAAAGTTGATAGGACATTATTACAAAGAAATGCAAAACAGGAAAGTAACAAAGGAGGGGTAGCCGACCGATCCTATAAACCACATTATCCAAACTGAATTGTGGTTAAAATTTTATAACAAAACATTTGCTTTTTATTAGACACCATAAGATAGTAGTGTTTAGGCAATGGTTTATGCATTAAATTTCGATTTTTATAACAATAAGTTCATAAATAAATATTTATAAAATTAGTTAAATATACGTTTAAACAATAAACTAATACAGTACAACTTCTCTTGGGTAAACTTCTCTTAGATGAACACCTTCTCATAGTGAACGGATTTGAAATATACGTTGGATTTCCTATACTTATAATGTTAAAATAACCTCCCTTAGGTAAACTTCTCCATAACGAATACCTCCCCATTATGAACGGATTTATAGAGATTTAGATAAAACTTTCACTCTCTATAATGAACAAACATAATTCTAAGCATATTATTTGTAAAGTATTTAAAATATTTTCTAATCTAAAACTTTAAACAAACAAATAACATATTTACATTTTTAGTATCATTCAATATTGCTAGAGTCTGCAATATAAACACTATATTCAATCTGTGATTAGTGAATTTTCAAATATTAAGCAAAAATAAGACATTTTACTCGAACCTCCCTTGGATGAACCCTCCCTATAATGAACACTTTTGTCGTGCAACTGGCCGTTCATTATAGAGAAGTTGCACTGTATTAATTGATGTAAAACAAGTTGATGTCTTACACTGGACTATCTTTGATGTTGTAATTGCCACGTCGTTCACACATTTGCTTAAAGCCTTCCGATGTTTCCGGTAATTGAATACACGATCCCAAGAATTCGTAAATAGTAGACGCTTTGTCCATTGAATCCATAGCATCATCGCACCGGCAATAACCTAGCGTATTTTAAAATTATCACTTGGCAAAACAATGGTCTACTCACAAATGCTATACGTTACACATTATTCGGGTATTTTTCATAAAATAGATTAACATTACATAAAGATTTGATATAAGTTCTATAGACTTATCATTGCCCATAACATTATCATTAGTCTCATACTGACATTAGTCCTTTAGAATCTACATAATACTAGATAATAACCTTTAGATAATAACATTAATGATAGATTTTGCATTACAAGTGTTAAGTATGTTTGTCATAAACTTATTCTATAAACCCTTATAAGTCTATATTCAAGCGTTTTAATTTTAAATTGATGAGGTTAT